AGCGACCGGCCTCTGGTCAAACTCAGCCGCGCTGAGATCTGCGTCTTCTGGGAATCACTTGGCGGCTCCCGTGGAAAGTCGAACCTGAACTTCAAACAAAGACGGAGCAGGGAGACTTGCGTAAACACAGAGGCTGTGCTGCCGTGGCAGGAATGCTTGATGCACTCAGAAAGTGATCGCTGCATCTGAGGCTGAGAGGGTCTAGTTTATTTCGAGAGCCCTTGACTGTCCTTCAGCCTGGGCAGCGTGCCTGCTGTCCCGTCCGCTGCCCCGCTGGATTGGGGGCCGCGCTGAGGCTCGGCTGGCAAGGGCAGCCCTCCCCCCAGCCCTCCTCCCCTGCCTCCTGGCCCGAGGTGCTTTCATGTCCTCAGATGTGTCTGCTCTGGCAGCTGCTTCTCACCAAGCTGCTGGGCTGGCTTTAGAAAGCAAGTTTTGACATTCATAGAAGATTTCCTTTGTAGTCTTTGAATCCACCAGGGTGTGCAAAAGGCAAAAGCCCACCTTGCATGTGTGTGAACCCCACAGCCCTCTCGGGAGCCCGAAGAGCAGGGTTGAGCTGCTCCCGGTCACCTGGGGCTCCTCATCCTGCTCCCTTGTCCGGCGACAGTGGAGCTGGTGCAGGTGATTCCAGGGTCCCCCCCGCACAGCCTCAGGCCCAAGAGACCAGCGCCGGTCAGTACAACTCCAGGGCAGAGCAGCCTCCCAGGCCCACTGGGCTCACAAGGTCAGTTGAATTGGCCGGGAGAATTGGCTCGAACGTCTAAGAAAAACTGAGAATGTTGTCAACATGGGGCCCAGGTCCCTTCTCCTAACAGGTCCCTGGAACGAAACTGCGGCTTCAGGCGGAGTGTCCCTAACGCACCTTCACTTGTTTGCTGGACCCTGCTGGTCCTTGTGGCCTCTGGTGTGGAGAGATGTGGTGGGCCTCCCTGGCCTAACCCCCTCATGTCTTTTTCTTCACTCTGATTCCCTGTTAACTGAGTGTGGCCAGGACCTGGTGCCCAGAGTGAGGTGTCCCGTCCACCACAGACAGCCCCGAAGATGTTGGTCAGGTCAGGCCCTGCAGAGCTGGCTCTGGATCCAGGCCCCTGAGGGGTTCATCAATCCCACAGAACCCCCAGAGGCACTCGGCAGCAGTGATGACTTCAGGGACAGGTACCAGAGCCGGGCCTCAGGCCCTCCGTGCACAGGCATAACCTGTGCATGGACTTTTTGCTACTCGGTACCTAGAAATACCCTTGCATCGGGAGGAGCACTGCTGTTTTGAGCTCTGGAGGTTGCTTTGTCCCGGGGTCAGGTTGCCGAGCCCTCGCAGGCTCGTCCTGGCCTCCTTCCATCTGGAATAACTTCCCAGCGGGCGCCGTGCGGACACCCTGGAACTGGGCAGGTGGAGAAAGCCACAGACAGGAAATTCTTTCACTGGGGCTGATGCACATCAGTCCACTTCCAGCGGAAGTGGGAAAAGAGCTGGTCTGAACTCACCTGCCAGTTAGTTGAGGCTGCGCCAGAGCTGCCGTCTCAGGCCGGTCCTGGGGTGCAGGCTTCAGGCTTGTTCTTTTGCCCCGGGATCCGCAACTTTACAGACCGTCTCCAGTGTCGTGTTCCCGAAGTTATTAGAAACTATTCGAAGTTACTGGTAAACTAGAAACACACTAAAATGTGTGTTCCACTCACCTGCGGAGGCGACGGTGGGCTTGGTTCTAAGGCCACTTCAACAAAGAGAACACGCTGTCCTACTTTATGCCACGGCGCTGAGGCAGTGGGGACCCACAGTGCGGTCTGCAGACGCTGAACCAACTTCATCTCAAGTTCCTTGACAGCCAGGGAGTGAATGGCGAGGCCTAGGGGTGGTGAGGGGCACAGAACAGATGGCCAAGGCCAACTTCTGTCAGGAACCCAGGCTCTGGCAGGCTGATGTGCGGCTCCCTGGCCCAGTGGTTGTTCAGACAGATGAACTCAGACGCAGGGGGTGGGGGCAGGGATGGGGCTGAAGCCACGGGCGAGATTTCCCCTTGTCCAGTGAGCCTCTTCTTCCTGAACGACACCTGGAAGACATTCACCAAGACGTACCGACGACGACGTCAGTTTTCCGTATTAAGGTCAGTGGCAATCCAGGCAGCGGAACCATCTCCCACCCTAAGTTGTGCTGAATGGCCTATGGGAGTATGGGAGTGGGGTGGGGGTGGGGTGCGGTGGGGCGTACTGGCTTAAGCCTTTGGAGGACCTGAAATTCAGGAGGACCCGAGGCTGCCCCGGAGGTGTGATTTCAGGCCCCTTCCTCCGGCAGGGCCTGTGTTCAGAGCAACCCTGCTAGGTAACCCGGGTCTGAAATGGCGCTCTGCGGGTCACTCCTCTGGCCTCAGGGCTGGCTGTGAGAATGCACATTTCCTGAGAGCGCGACAGCCCCTCCTTCCAGCGAGGAGAAGGGCACAGGAGGGCCACAGCAGGCGGGCGGCGCGCCCCGTCCCAGGAGGACGTCGTGGGTCTGCCATAGGCAAAGGGAAGGACGTGGCCAGCGCAACTGTGGAGGCCTTGGTGTGGCCCCAAATTAGCTTCCCACGGCCGTGGTCACTATCCTTTCTGAGTAGGGTCAGCCTGCCGACGCCGCGGTCCGTGAGCTGCAGGGCTGGCTGGACCGGGGGGTCAAAGCAGGGTCTGCGCTTGGCCCCACCCCACGGCAGCGCGTGGCTCAGGCACTTCTAGCCTCGGGGCCCCAGCCCTGGCTCTGTGAGGCTGTGTTTGGGGGAGCAGAGGGCCGCAGCTGTGCGCTGGAGCAGCTGGGGGCCTCGATGGGCTCGGAGAAGTGGGTGCAGACGGCGGACATGCAATGTCCCCTCTCCCGTCCATCTCCGTTTACACTGTGGAGCGGGTGGGGCCCGTGGCCTTCGCAGGGGTGCGGCGCAGGGCGGTGCTGGGTGGTATCGTGGTGCCGCCTGATCTGGGCAAGAAGGGCTGTGGCCTGGCGCGGGGCTCCGACTGGGCCAGCAGGACACGATGCTGCTCATCGCAGAGACCCAGCGGTCTTGCCCTTTTCTTGTTGCTCTTGTGGATGCTTCTGGAAGGTTTGAGCATCTCTCCGTGTGGTGCGTGATGCAGCCAGTGGAATGTGGGTTCTCGTCTGAGTGAGGGGTGACCCCGTGCCCTGTCCAAGGACGCACCGGGGCACAGCAGGGAGGCGCGGCGAGCGTGTCTAGAAACTGTCCTCCCTTCCTTAGGGCAGGAGGTCACTTTCCGGCCCCCTGCAGGTCACTTTCCGGCCCCCTGCACTGAGTAGAGTCTCTTGGACGCATCAGGAAACGCGAGTGTCGCGCTCCCGGTTTGGGCTGTCTGTCCAGGCGCTAACGTTTCTAGGGGAAATCTGCCAGCGAGCTGTAGAGGGACGTGACCTCACATGCCCGCTCTGCCATTGCGGCCGGCGGCTTTCCTTGGCAGGTTGGGGTCTCGCTGTGCTTCCACGTGCCTGCGGCCAGCGGGGACTGTCAGCGTCCCTGCGTCCACCCGTGCTGGCAGGAAATAAGGGTGACACTAGAGAAAGCTACTCCAGCACTCAGCAGAGATGGGAGGTGTTTGCAGGGAAGCCTCGGGAGAAGCAAAGGGCCGGGGAGGAAACCCGGTCCTCCGGCAGAGAAACCCTGCAGGTTTTCTTGTGGGCAGAAGAGAAAGAGAAACTCTGGGGCAGCCCCGGGGCCGGTGGGGACGCCCGAGGCCACGGGCGAGCCTTTGCAGCTCCTCACATCTCCCGGAGGGCTCTGGGCCTCTCAGCTGAGACTCCCCTGGGCTTGCAGGGGTCTCCCTCTGAATCCAGGGAGTGGGGTGCTTTGTGGGCTTCGGTCCACGCGTACGCCTGGTGTTGTGCTCTTGTCTGAGACGGACGTGCTGTCTCGGCTGCTGTGGAGACCGTGGTCTCCGTTGTGTGGCTCCTGCGCAGTCTGCTCTGAGCAGCTCCCGGCTTCTCCCCTTTGCTTCGGATTCCAGAGGCTGTGAGCAGCTTTGGAAGAAGTGAGTGGTGTTTGTTAGACTCATGTGTACTGTTCCGTTCCGAATTTTCCTTTGGTATTAAAATCACATACTAACCAATGTGTGTGTCACGACAAAACACTTTCCTTTTTTCTCTTTTGTGACATTCCAAAGTCACTTTTCTTAATGTTGTTAAGTTTTGAAAGATGATTCCCCCCTCCTCCTCCCAGGGCGATCTTGCATCTTGGAGTCATCTGCGCCGATGCAAGTTTGCCCAGATGTGATTGCTGATTGGTATTTCGCATCTGTTTCTATGCTGTCGTGTCGCCATATCCCTTCCATCGTAAGCAGTGAGATTTTGTCTGACAAAATGTTATGCTTCCTCTTGGTTATGCTGGAAAATCAAGAATACTTTATTACTGAAGTTGAAAATAGAACTGTGCACTTAATGACCATTTTTCTCCACACTGAGGGAACTTGTCATTAGCTCTGTGCAGATAAACCAGATGGCCCCTCCCTTTCAAACTGCTGATGATGGTGGTTTGTTTTCTTGGTGGAAACAATAGCTCCACTTCCTCCCTTTGGGTGCACTGGGCAGTCGCCTGATCATCCGAGTTTGATGTTAGTCTTCTCCGAGGTAGCCTGAGGTTGTCGATTGCACCGTGTGACCCGCACTGAGCGCTGAGCCTCTGCTGTGCATAAATGCCTTTGGAGAATGTGTCGAATTACTAATTGGTTATTCTTGCACGAGCAAAGCAACATCAAGCCAGAGAATGGCTAGAATTTATTTTGATTTGTTTCACTCTTGGTTTAAATTTACCACCCACATTTACCCAAAATACATAAAAGCTGTGGGCTTGGTATGTTTGTTTTACTGCCATAGTGTAACCATGTCCAAACCTGCCTGCACTTCAGCTCATTACGAACAGACATATTAAAACTCATCTGCTCTTTTGCTGACACATCCCAGAAGGCTGGGGACAGCTATCCTTCGCGCCGTCTGCCTTTCCCGTAAGTTGATGGTTATGCTGTTTGCACAGCTGACCACCCACTGAAGCCAAGGCATGTGAAACTGCTGTCCACTAAAATGGGCCTGAAGGTCACGTGGGACCCTCCCAAGGACGCAGCCAGTAGACCGGTGGAGCAGTACAACATTGCCTATGGGAAGTCACTGAAAGGCCTTAAATACATCAAGGTGAATGCGGAGACGCGCTCCTTCCTTATTGAGGACGTGGGTAAGTGACCCCGGTCTTGTCCCCAGTGGGGCCACCTGCTCGCCTGCCTGCTCAGCCTGTCCTCGGGACGGCGGCTGTGGACACCGGCCCAGGGGCGGGCGGCTGCAGGAGCCTCGAGCTGCTCCCCGCCCGCTTCTCGCGCCGGCTTCCCACCCGCCGCTGCCCTCCAGCGTCCCTGCTCTGTCCACACCGGTGTAGGAAAGTCCTCCTCATTTCTGATGTCCTTTGGAACCCAGGGATCCTTTTTTGTCTCACATACTCTTGGCTGCTCCACAGCTCAGGCGGCCAACGCTGAGATTTCTAACCCGCAGCCACCCTGCGGGGCGGGTGGCCCAGGCCGTGACCTGACCGGTGTGTCCCGGTCGCGAGGAGCCGCACCCGGGCCGGGGATGGACGGCGCAGCCTCCCTGCTGTGTTGGGGTCCTGGCAGCACCCAGAAGCACTGGCGCAGGCGGTGTGAGGCCGAGGCCTGCTCCCGCGGACCCCCGGCTTCTGCTTTCTTTGACCCCAGAAGGCCGGAGCGCTGTTTGTTCAGCAGCCACTCCTGGCCCAGCCTCAGCCCAGACCCTAAGGAGGCAGCAGCTGTGACACCCGCCCCCCCCAAGATCCTCCTGTGCCCCCCACAAGGCCGGGCTCCCTGCCCACACTGTGATGAAGCAGAGAGTGTGTGTAGGGGGGGCACAGGGGGGCACAGTCCCTTCCTCATTGTTCCAGCTAAGCCACTGAGTCTCTCCATCTCTGGGGCTCCACAGAACCCGGTTGTGGGGTTCAGAGGCAACCCCCTGGGATGGAGGCAGGAGCAGCACTGTATTTGTTCGTTATTATTGCTACAGGGCAACATCCGTGCAGAAAGGGGCCACAGAGCCCCCTAAAAACAAACAGCGTCTCCAAGCGAGAGGCAATCCAGCCACCGGACTAAATTCTTTGAAATGGGCGTAAGCTCAGAAAGAAGGGGCGCCTGGCTGGCGAGGTGATTCTGCGTTGTCTGAACCCAACACGCTCCCCAGGATGTCTGGCGGGTCGTGCCACCCCGAGGGGCCTCCGGGCCCTGCCACAGTCAGGCAGACGCTGCCCTGGCCCTGTCCCGAGCTCGGGGCCCAGCTGGCACCCACGGTGCTGCTCCTGGGCTCTGGCTGGGGAGCCCCAGCCTGTCAGAGGGAAGCGCGTCATTTTGAGAATTACAGTTATTGCCTCCGACAGACGAACTCTCCCTCTCCCACCCTCCGCCCTGAAATGCCCATACATGTCCATCTCCTCAGGGCACGGGCCCCTTCACCGCTGGCGCCAGGCGCCCGTCCACTTTGAGGAAAACCAGCACACCAGCGGCCTCTTGAGGAAGCAGCCAGGGCAGGATGTGCTCACCTGGCTTCCTTTCACATCCCCAAAGACAGCAGGGTTGACCTTGATCCCTCATTCACCTTGACCCTTGGACACCGGTCAAAAAGCAAAGCCCGATTATTTCAAAGTTAACATTTTCATTTCTAGATTCCTGGGGACTCTTTCCTTAGTCGGACACCACCTGAGACATCATAGGGAGAACATTCGATTGTCGAACAGGGAGTTTCATAGCTTCATCTGTTGTAGAGACAATGTTCCATGTGCCAAGTTTTGTGACGTACCTTGACATTTCTCTTTCTTTTGAGATTGCCTTTGGAGCAATTTTGGAAACAACATTTGTGGTTGTGCACGCTGTAGGTTAAGCCCCACTCAGTGGATGGTGTACTCATGTTGCCGCCATTAATTTCGCACTAAAAAGCTGACAAGCGTTTTTACTGACTGCTTAGGAATCCCGGTTTCTGCCACATGCCATGTGCCCTTATCAGGCGTGGTTCTCTTGTCAGGCGTGTTTCGGTTGCATGGGAAAAAGTTCAGTGCTTTTGATTTTTAAAACAGAGGGAAAATTATAGACTTGTCACTTAATTCAGGTTTTTATAATAGTATAAAATGGTATAGTCAGAGAGTCCAACAGTCCTTCTTGGGGTGGCCTGATGTCAACCGTGTGTTCCAGAGCCGGGGGTAGTATACTTTGTGCTGGTCACCGCAGAAAACCGCAGTGGAGTGAGCCGACCCGTGTACAGAGCGGAGAGCCCACCCGGTAAGTCTGACCTGGCCCGGGGCATGTGCCTTGTCACACTGAACGTGAGAAACACACCCCCTGCTTCTTCAGGCCAGCGCACATTGGGGTTGCTACCGAATTTGTGCATAAGACAACAGTAGAGATGTCGAGCAGCCTGAAAAGTCAAGAGTGAGGCAAGAGCAAGCTCGTTGTGTAAAGTCATTTCACATAGTTTAGTAGCACGTGTCCTTCCTTTTCCACTAGGGTAAGCGATGAGCAAAAGAGCAGAAATCCACCCCATCTATTCAGGCCAGGGCCCCGCCACTGTGTGGTCAGGGCAAATCCGTGGAAAGACCAGTTCAGTTGCTCAGGAGAGCGACAGCGTACTCGGGTTGGGGGAAGGAGGTTGCAGGTAGCACCGAGGTGGTCAGGAAGATCCAGGGAGTACTCAGGTTGACAGTTGTCTTCCTGGCTCGCATGGGAATAAGCTTGCTAAGATCCTGGGGTGTGGGGATGGGGGCTGGGGAGGATGGGGGGAGGCATGTGTCCACGTGGCCACAGACAGGAAAAGCAGGAGAAAGTAACAGAAAAGCAGCAAGACAGGTTCAATAGAAAAAAATGCAGAAGGTGAACTTTTAATAAGACAAGGACATTTAGTTTGGGCCATTTGTCATGACGCAAACCTAGACTCTTTATATTAAGCCCTTTTCCTTTGGAAAAAATTAATATGCTTTAGGGATGCTCTGAAATGTGGAAACCCCAATAGTCCTCATTTCTAACTATGAAGTTGCATTTTCCTAATTTAGGAGGTGAATGGATCGAGATTGATGGTTTTCCCATTAAGGGTCCAGGACCATTTAATGAAACCGTCACAGGTACTATTTGCTCACTGAGTTCGTGTCTTCACTGAAGCACCATCTCGCAAGAGAGTTGTGCTTCTGTTACACACATGTGCTCACCAACCTCCGCTAGTTCCCATCGCTAAACTAACCCACACGCCGCCGTGCCGGGCCATCTGCGCTGCACCTGCGGACCAGCCGTGTCTCTCACTCCTCATTGCTCTCATGTCCTGCCGTGGGAAAGTGTCTGCGTGTGCCTCTCGGGATGCTCCCGTGCTGTGGCCAGGCAAATATGGTGGTGGAGGAGGCAGTTTGGGCCCGACGAGGGCACCCCCAGCTCCTACTCTGGATGGCATAAAAGGAGGGGAGGCACCAACGAGTGGTTTCCTTGGCTGATCTGTTGCACCAAGTCTCGCTCACTTAGCAGCAGCACAGTATTCCGTGAGATGAAGGAGCGCCTGCCTTCCACCTCTGCGCCATATTTGTATACATGTGTGTGTATCATCTGGATGTGATGTTGTCTGGTCCTGATGTTTTGTGAAGAGGTGTCGACATTTCTTGTATGTTTCTTGAATATAATTAATGCTGAAAAAGAATGTGGTTACTTTAGAGTGTGGTGGGGCGATAGCCCAGCTATGGCAAGGAGCTGTTGCATGCTGGTGACCCATGTTTTTACAGGCGTTAATCTGGTATTATTGTTGAGAGGAAGGTGAGTATGTTAAAACGAAAGACCATAACCTGCTTCTCAAATCTGGTTGGATGGATGTTGTTTTCAAAGTTCCTTTCATCTGAAAGGGGGGTGGAAAAACAAAGGGACAGAAAAAAGGAAATGGGTTTCTGAGAAAGGTGATACAACCTGGTTTGAATATTGGACACGAGGCGTCTTCGATTCTGGTAGTGGAGATGCCTGTACGTGGCTGGGCATGAGAGGCTGCAGGCTGGAAGAGAGCAGGAAGAGCTAGTCAGAAACTTTGGGATTGTGTGACAACCCGGGGGGGAAGAAGCGAAAGAGCAGGAGTGGGTAAGAATGAGGAGATACGAGAGCAGAGGACCGAGACGCAAACTTGGAAGGCGCTGACATGACGTAACTGAGAGGTAGTACAGCTAGGAAATGCAAAATTGGAAAGGATGTTTATTTCCGAGGTTGTGTGCTCCAATCATGTAAACATTCACAAACACATATAAGCCTTCCAACGTGCTTTGTGTTTGAACCTTATGTTTTGTGTTTTAAATAAGCATTTTATTTTTATAATCTTCTAGATAGGTTTCTGAATGACAGTAGTATTAGGATAAGTCATTTTCTTCAGTAACTGGTTTTTATATTATGTGGGTTGTGTGTGTGTGTGCACATGTGTTAGAGAACCTGGATATCTAAGACAAGAGACACTCTCACTCCAACTCATTGTTGGCTTTAGGGACTGTGAGCTCATTTCACCTCTCACTCCAGGGTCCCTTGTTGTTCAAATGCTGTAAGCCATGATACTATATTTGTCAGAAGTTATAAAAAACTACTGCAATAACTTGCTAGCTGAAATCATTTGCAGCATGTTAAACAGAACTTAAAAGCAGAACAAAATATGAATATCCGGAATGCACAGACTTGGTTAAAGTACCCCATGAGAAAAAACTACATCACATCATTAAATATAAAGTGAGAAACTATTGTGAGTTTCAACTATCAAGATGCATTGATACCTTTTTTTTAATGAGGTCTGAAAAATATGCTAAGCTTGTTCAGAGGAGGGGTTAATATATGATAAACCTGTCAAAGAAGCATTCTGAATTCCACCTATCTTCATTTATCAGAAGGAATTTGTCCTCAAAAAGCTGATACCAGTATTGACACCTGGAGCCTTCATTTTATGCTTTGACTGATAGTATCTCACTTTCTTGCAGTGTTTTATTTGAAACCAGAGGAAGACACTGGTGTAACATAGCTGAGAAGGTAGTGAGTGCATCTAGGGAATGCAAATTGGAAAGGATATTTATTTCAGCAGTGTGATGTTGTGGACCTCTAGTGGGTCCGGGACCTGGGGCACGCCTCTGAAGGACAAACCAGAGGGATGATATCAGTCAAAACACTAAAATGAAGCCTCCAGGTGCAAATGCTGGTATTGTTACAGGGTAGCCCAGAGTGGACCCGGCTGCCTGTGTGTGGGGCCTCACCCGCGCGTTCAATATTAAGTTATACTGCAGGTGCACACAAAAGGAGCAGGGTACAAAGTAACTGGAATACCTTACAGCTAGGCTGACTGAACACACAGAGTCACGCGGTCCGGAAAGCCATTTCCCGAGCGAGCCAGCGAGAGAGAAGCAATCGCACCCTATTTATCTCCTAAATGTCCCAGAATTCCCTGCTAGCTCTGCCCTTGGGTCCTCGCAGTTCTCTCCCGGGTACTGCTGGGAGTTGTAGTTTCCAGTCACTGGAGTACGGTGTAGGGTCCAGAAAGCTGGAGTAGGGGGTGGGGTCCGTAAGGCTCTGCAGAGTTCCTTTAGGACATCCTTCCCCTTAACAGTATCAGCACTTTCTGATAGATAAAGGAAAAATTCTTTCTGATAAATAAAGGAAAATCCATTCTTCTGTTCTGCTCTAAAGAGTAGCTTTACTCCGTTTCAGAGCTCCCTTCTTGCTGGCTAAGATCTGCCTAGATCTCATTGTCTTTACTTAAAAAGAGTAATTATTGAATTCATTCACAGGTGTAGGTGCTAGAGATAAGTTGGTGAATAAGGTAGACAAGGGCTTGCCTTCATCAGGATTATAATCTAGAGGGAAGGAAAGTCAACACACAAGCAAGCAAGAAATAATGCTTGTTGTCTGTATTAGTCTGCTCTGGCTGCCATAACAAAAAGCCATAGACTAGGTGACTTAAATAACGTAAATTAATTTTCTCACAGCTCTGGAAACTGGAAGCCCAAGATCCAGGCATTGGCACCACTGGCTGCTTCTGAAGGGGCTCTGGATTGCAGGCAATCTTCTCACTGTGCCCTCACAGCGCCTTCCTTCTTTGGGCACACTCTGGGAAACACTCTCTCCGTGTTTCAATTTTTCTCTACCTATAAGCACACCAGTCATGCTCAATTAGTGTCCTCCTCAATGGCTTCATTTAAAAGTTCCAAAATTCAAATACCTCACATTCTGAAGTAAGTGGAGCTCAGAATTCAACATGTGATTTTTTTTTTTTTGACTGAAAACAATTCAGTCTAAAACATAATCATAAATTTTTGGAAAATAAACCACCTTGTTGTAGCAAAGTCAAGGTGGGAGAGTCGGGAGCAGCTGACAAGATGGCGGCCCCAGACCAAGACCCCGTGGAGACCCTCACACAGGAAGTTATATCAGGGGGACGAGAATGTCCAGGTGTTCTGGAGGCCAGCCTGACTTGAGTGATTCTGACTGGTCATTTGGCCAAATATGAAAACACTAAAGACAAAAAATGGTAGGAATCAGCACAGATGCATCTGAGGCAAAAGTTTTGGCTTCCTCTTTGGGTAGCTTGTCAAGTGTCTCTTAGTTAGAAAGTTTCTTTGCATTTAAATGTAAAATCCCTCCTGCTGAGAATGTAAGCCCACTTCCCTTTGTTTTGTCCCCAGGCAAGAGATGTTACAAGGTTCACATACTGGAATCCTGTTACTTAGCTTCTCTGCCTTCTTTCTTGAGATTGTTTCCGTTTTTCCCTGTGAAAATTTGAGGTGATCCAGACTGCAGAGCCAGGCACTGGGGGTCAGACAAGGACCCAATTCTGCTTCCACGCAGCCGAGGGACTCAAAGGGAAGTTCATCTGCTTTCACCAGGGAAATTTTGGCCCTCAGCAGAATCATGTATTTTTAATAGTGTCATGACTGAAAACATAATCTAGTCCTTTGTGCTTTTCTAAGCTATGGAACGCAAACTGGGTCACAGGGCTAACACTAAAGCCTGGTGTGGACCACATATTTTCCTTACATTTTAGTTCGCGAAGCTTGTTCAGTTTTTTGGGAGGGTAGGGGAGAACAATTAAATTATAACTTAGACTCAAGGTCCATGTAGAGTTTGCAGTTCTCCTTGGCCATTCCCCCCAACACTGGCATGCTGCCTGAAGTCCTGCCACCCCCTTCCTCATCGGGTCACCCACTAGATGAGACAAGTACTTAAACCCAGGAAGCAGTCTGGCAAGAAGCAGGTGCAGGGGCAAAGGGGTTCACCAGAGACAGAGTGGGGAGCAGAACAGGTGGATCCACTGAAACCCACTGCTGAGGGGAGCAGGGGGCCAGACAGGAGCGGGCTGCTGTGCCCTGTGGGTCACCCCCTGGCTGGGGATCAAACTTGTGCTGCAGGGGCTGCTGATAACATCATCACACTGAGACTCTAATTATGGAATTTTAACCGCACAGTTTGCAGGGCAAGGTGGGCTTCTCAGGGGCAGGGCACGTTGATTTACTCACCTATGTACCTCAAGCACCTACTATGAGATAAGCACATAGTAGGTGCTCAATAAATGTGTGCAACATGGAATGCAGTGGAGACTGCTTCACTGGGTGTCTGTGGGCAGTGGGGGCGAGGCTTTGACAAGGGCCGCAGAGCCGTCTGCCAGGGGCCAGGACCGCCTGTTGGGGGCAGCCCCCCGCTCTGGCCTCCTTGCCGGCCACAGAGAGGCGCCGCCATTACTCCGAGATGCTGACTCTTACCCCTGGTTCTTGGAGCCGCCTGGGTGAGGAGAGCACGAAGCTCCCGTGTGGACCGGAGAGGACGGGGCGGCCCCAGCATGGCTGGGCTGCAGAGAGGCGTGCACGTGATGTGACCCTCCCTGCGTGGGAGGCCCGTCCCTGGTCAGGACCCTTCGTGGGTGCTGCTGCCACTGTCTCACTTCAAAGCCAGGCTTGACCAACCCGAGTGCCTGCTGGTCTGTCGAGCTGTCCGGCTTCACGCAGCCGCGTGCTCTTGTGGGGGGGCATTAACGCGAGTGTCAGCGGCCGGAGGAGCAGGGGCAGGCCCCCCCAGTGGGGGCAGGAGGAGGCTGAGCTGCCCCTCTGACACCAGGCTTACACTGACACCTTGC